GTTTTCAGAAATTCCGATTCCTCCAATTTCTTCGCCTCTCTAGCCGCTACCCGTTCTCTCGATTTTCTTAATTTTCAGTGTTCCCTCTTGGCAGCCAATTTCAGAAGCTAATAACGTGATGGACAGCTCGGCGATAGGGTTTCCGGTTGTTGTCAGGGGTTCTATGGATTTTTTTGCCTTTTCTAGTATTATTAAATAGCTAGTAGACCTTGATTTTCAAGACTTTACGCTTAAATATTGTTAATATATATTTAAGGTACTATTTTTTACAGACTAGGGTCACAGCTTGAGAGCCCTTTTTGGAGCGATGTTTCTAGGCAACACCTCTAGGAATTCTAGATACGCCCAATTTTTCTTTAAAAAACATTAATTATTTTGATTTATTTTTGATTTTTAGCATTATCCATTACAGTAATTTTTATTTTTTTATTCCAAGTTTTTTTTTTGCAGAAATGCAAGTTAAAAGACGACGGAATCTTCAAAAACCGCGGAATTTTTGCTCCGTTAACAGGTGTACTGTGTACAATAGTTCGACATCTTTTGGGTATACCAAGCTTTATAAGTCGACTTACCTTTCCAATCCAGTCAAGCTTACCTGCCGACTCGCTAGAACCTGTCCCACTCACCGTAGCCCCCACTCGCAAATAGATGGCGTGTGCTTGCGAGCCATTGTACGGCACGGGTCGGGTTCCTATTTACTCGCACACCTGGCCAGGTAAGCGCCACGAAATGTCGATTTTTTTAGTATCGAATTTTTCTGAATCTTAAAGGACCATTGAAGCCTCCAAAATATAGACTTCTTCCTTAATTCCGTGACGCTACCGAGGACATACCTATATTTTCAGCAACTTTCCAATTTTTGGAGCTTTTAAGAATCATTGACGCTTTTTTTACTCTTAAATTATTAATAGCCATCTTAAATTCCGCTACACTACAGAATACAGGAAAATTTAACCCAATCACTTATATTCTACACCTTTCTTCTCGAATTCCGCAAGACTACAAAGTACACCCCAAAAATTTTAGCCCGCAACTTGCTGAATGGAGAGCGAGGTCCTAAGTGAGAGCTCGAGCACCATCGGTGATGACTGGTGAGTATAACTTAACCCTAAAAAATGATACCAATCGTAATTCCACGTTTTAGTGAAGTAGTACTGTTCAAGTAGGTGGTATATTCGACTTGTTTCTCCCGGGCTTCGGTTTTTCGGGTCGAAAAAATCAAAAAATTATGCAATTTTAGGGTAAAAGACGCCAACGGCAGCGGATCTGCCGATTCCTCGTCCGTACGCGATGTGGTCGACGTCTTGAAGGAGTTCAGCTCGGTTGAGGGCTCTCCGGTGCAAAAAGAAAGCGAGTTGCGAGCGAGGAAATGGATTGTAAGTTGGAGTGGAGCGGAACTTTGCGGATTTTAAAGGGATTAGAAAGTACGAAAACGTGCTATGCATGGGATAGGTCTCGACAGATACGTGAAATTCTGAGAACGCGAGCTAATTTTAATTTTCGCCGAAAGTTCGGATGCCTAGGTGCCTTGAAAAGAGCTTGAACGTATTTGGAGTGTCGCCTAGCTGTCCCGCGTAGTCTAATGTCTAGACCGAGCATACGCAGGCGTCGATTTTCGCCTAGCAAGTATCTTTAAAGGGATAGGCAAGCCACGACTCCATTAGAACGAAAATCCACAAGGAAAAAACATATGTAGCGCCTCCTCGGCATGGCAAATCGACCCGACCCCCTCTCCGACTGGGATCAACTCTACAACTTAAAAAGTCAAAGCCAATTACGGTAAAAATATTCCTACGGTATCTAAAAATTTTCCAACTTGTAGAAATGACTGTCGTATGCTGGCCAAACAAACTAGGAACACGAAATCCGTCCCAGAACTCGGAGTCATTTTGACGTTGTACTGTAAGAAAAGGAATATGGACTACGATGTAAGTGAATCTAAGCATTGCCCTAAAAGGAAATCTAAACACTGAAAAATTCGTATTTTTAGAAAGATTCCGGCTGGACTCTCGTACTGGAAAAGCTCCTAAAGTTTGACTACCCGATGGAGCACTTGTTCAACATCTTCTTCGGGTTGACGACGAAATATATGCCAAGGTAAGGAAGTTTTAGCGACATGCTTAATCTTAGGCTTAGCGTAGGCTTCGCATATAACACTAAACAAAATAATCTAACATTTCAGGGAAACCAAGCCGGGCGCTCAGGTATTTGACCTATTCCGACTCCTCCTACAGTACCACGAACCGGAGTTGTCGTCGCATTTGGAGTCTATTAAGTGCTCCCCACACACTTATACCAGGTAATACAAGCATAAGATTTTCTATGTGATTTATGTAGTCTCGAATTAAGTATGACTATGCAAATTTCAGGACCTGGTTTGCCTCCCTATATGCCTGCGCGGTCGATGATAAATCTTGTGCCGTACTGTGGGATTTGTACATAGAAAGGGTGCGTACTAACGAGATAAAGAGAGAGAGAGAGAGAGAGAGAGAGAGAGCCAAAAACACTAGTATTTTCAGGGCGACCCCTTCCTCGTCTTCTTCCTCGCCCTGGCGATGACCATCAACGCGAAGGAGCAACTTTTAGCATACACGAAAGATCAGCGGTTAGTTGATGAAAGCTATTGATCCAGATAAAAGATATTATTAATTCAGAGACCAAATTAAAGCATACATTTTAGGGAAGAAGCCGTCAAGCTCCTCTCCGAACTTCCAAAAAGCCTGACGGTAGATGACATCCCGGATTTCATCGAAGTCGCCTTGTACTATTCGCTTCGTACACCGCAGTGTTTGAGAGAGGTGAGAGAGAAAGCGAGAGAGAGAATGAGAGAGAGAAAGAGAGAGCGAGAGAGCGAGAGTGAGCGAAAACTTAACATTCGTTTTCAGGACTTCCACGGAACTCTCTTCGGAGCGAACCTGCTCGACGATTTTGCCGAAAAATCGATAAAACAAAGAATCCCGCGTCGGTGACGGCCAACGAACTATTGCGGAAAGATTTGAATACCGCCATTGAAGCGGTGAGTTTCCATAACTATCATAAAAAACGTTAAAATGCTCAACAATTACCACAATGTATCCTTAAAGTATAAAATACGAGTAGAAAATCTCCAATTTTGTTAGATGCTCCCCACCTCGTACTTTGTCATCGATTGTCGAAGTGAGGAGGCATTTCGGGCTGGCCAAGTCTACGGATCATTCAATCTCGATGCCCAACTGGTAAGTTGATGTGTAATTTGGAGCGTAATGTAGCGTATCAACTATAATAATTTTGCTGTGGTCTCCGTCCGTCTGTCTGTCTGTCTGTCTGAAGCCGAATTCAACTCGAAGGGGAAAGGAGCTAGAGCTTAGCTCTCTTCGGATTCGGATAGAGTGTGGTCAGAAACCCCGCAAACTGATAAAAAATTATGAAAAACTTTAGTTTATATTATTAAAATTAACTTGAAGTGGCGCCTTAATAAAACGAGTGGGGCCCCTCTCCTGGGAGGCCACGCCCCTTTTCTCTTCGCCCCTCTTTCCCAGGCCCTTTCCCGCGCCCAGATAGCTTTTTAAGTTACTTTAATATTTTTTAATACTTTTTAATTATGTTAATTTATTTAAAGTATCTAAGTAGTTTTTGAAGGGGATTTCAGCCATGGGGAGTATCTGAAGCCATCAAGAAGGTATTTAGGTAGTTTTTGAAGGGGATTTCCGCTAGGGGAGGTATCTTAAAGGTACACTAAAGTCTCGTTGGTTTGGTTACCGGCCGGTAACCGTCCGCGGGATAGCAAACAGGGTTACGGCGGGTGCATAGCCGCGGAGCAAAACCGAACCCGCGCCACTCGCCTGGGGCAAGCGCCATAGACCGATAGGCCATGGGACAGACGGGACAGGGGAAAGGGAAGGGGGATAAGAAGGGTCCGGGCGTTGCGCGGCAGAGGACCCGGATTTATGACCGCGAATTGACTTTTTGCACGAGATTTTAGTGTACCTTTAAGCCATCGGGAAGGTATTTTGGTAGTTTTTGAACGGGATTTCAGCCATGGGGAGTATCTGAAGCCATCAGGAAGGTATTTAGGTAGTTTTTGAAGGGGATCTCAGCCATGGGGGGTATCTGAAGCCATCAGGAAGGTATTTAGGTAGTTTTTGAAGGGGATTTCAGCCATGGGGGGTATCTGAAGCCATCAGGAAGGTATTTAGGTAGTTTTTGAAGGGGATTTCAGCCATGGGGGGTATCTGAAGCCATCAGGAAGGTATTTAGGTAGTTTTTGAAGGGGATTTCCGCTAGGGGAGGTATCTTAAGCCATCGGGAAGGTATTTTGGTAGTTTTTGAACGGGATTTCAGCCATGGGGAGTATCTGAAGCCATCAGGAAGGTATTTTGGTAGTTTTTGAAGGGGATTTCAGCCATGGGGGGTATCTGAAGCCATCAGGAAGGTATTTAGGTAGTTTTTGAAGGGGATTTCAGCCATGGGGGGTATCTGAAGCCATCAGGAAGGTATTTAGGTAGTTTTTGAAGGGGATCTCAGCCATGGGGGGTATCTGAAGCCATCAGGAAGGTATTTAGGTAGTTTTTGAAGGGGATCTCAGCCATGGGGGTATCTGAAGCCATGAGGAAGGTATTTAGGTAGTTTTTGAAGGGATCTCAGCCATGGGGGGTATCTGAAGCCATCAGGAAGGTATTTAGGTAGTTTTTGAAGGGGATTTCAGCCATGGGGGGTTTATCTGAGCCATCAGGAAGGTATTTAGGTAGTTTT